GGGGCAATAAAAGAGTAGGCAGTAATTATCCTTATTTCCTATATCAAAGGGAAATGAGGCACAGAGCTCTTAAATTCAGTTTTTTTTTTTTTCACTCCTACAGCACTTTGCACTGTAGGAAGCACCTTTGCACACACCCTATTGCCTGGCCTGGGCAGGGACGTCCAACCTCATTTCACAGATGAGGAAGGGAAACTTTGGGGAGAGATGTGCCCAGAAGACACAGAGACTTATGGGAATCTGCCCTGCAGTCTTGCAGGGATTCAGTTTACGCCAAGTGAACCATCGAGCCTTGAAGTAGGGCTCTCCCAGAGGTCGGCCCCTACCACAGGCCTGGTGCCGGGTGGAGGACAGGTAGCCACCCAGCTGGGGGGCTTTCCAGTGTGTATCGATGTCTTTGAAGCTCTCAATAGCTCAACTGAAGCATTTATAAATTCCCCACTGCTGGGGAAGATGCGTAAGGTACACAGGCTTAGAAATACTTGGTCATTCTCTTAAACCTGGTTTTCCCTGGTCCTTCTTCTATCCTGGGACCCAGGATGAGTTAAAGGCTTCTCCAAGCCAGAAATTCACCCAGAGGCACAGGTCAAGACGTTCAGGAAGAGCCTCAGGGGCTTCCCAACACCGGGACTGCATCCGGACACTGTCCACCCGGCCTGGGCAACTGCTCTCTGAGCCACTCACCTTACTTCCAGGGCCCTGGAGGCACACCAGTGCCACCTCTGGGCCTGGAGAGTGGGTGGAGGTGAGATGCAAAGGAAAACCACTCCATCATGAGCAGATGGACACACTGCCAGCACCTGGGCCAATCCCTTGCCCGATTACTAAAGAACTAGGATATTTCTTTTCAAAATGCACTGTTCAGAAACTTGTTAACGCAGCACAACAGTGTGGGCACACAGCAGTTCTCTGTAAGCACTCACGTCTGTTAAGGAAACATAAGCTCTTTCCTTGAGTGCTGGAATGAATGAATATATATATATATATATCTCCTCTATACCTGTTGGTACAGCAGGCCTAGAAGGTGACTGATAACATAATGACTCTGGTGCACTGCCAGGTTTGGGAACCACTGGAAAAGGCTTTGGAACATCAGTTGAAATGCTGATTCATGCATTTCTTAGTGGAACTCTCTTCAGTAAGTTTCTTAACTTCCCACAGACTCAGGTCAACTAGGTAGGGAACATGATGCCTGCCCGCTGGATCCTTGTAAAGGCGGAGACAATCCACACCTGGCATAAAGCATATGCTCAGGAAGTCCGGGCTGTGAATACGACTCCTTCTGCAAAGGAGGCCAGACCTCTAGCCTCCACAAAGCCACAGAAACCACCTCCTGCTGAAGGAGAGAACCTCCAGTCCTAGGTTGCATTTGTGTCTCTGGAGTGACCCCAGCCTACAGGCCATTTAGTTCTTGCTGGGAATGGAAGTGTGTATGCTCTTCTCCATCTGCTCCACCACCTCCCCTCACCCAAAGCCACTCTGCATCCTTCCCCACCTGCTCTGTGTCCTGGGGGCTGACCTCGGTGGGCTGCCTCACCAGGGCCCCGGGCCCTTTGGCTTCCAGCAGCATCGATGAAAAGCAGCAGCAGCACAAGATCTGGGTATTTACTCCCCGCTCTCCCCTCTGCCAAGTGTCCGGCAGTGGTGCTGTCCCATCACAGCCATAGCGCCTGGTGGGGGGGGGGGCAGCCCCTCTTCCATGATTCTAGCTCCTGCTGCCTCTGCAAGAGCCCATTCATGAAACTCTCTTCAGATAAGCCCTTTTGAAGGTACCATCTGCTACCTGCCAGGACCCTGACCAAAGCAATGGGGGAGAAGGCTTTCAATAAAAAGGAAGATACTAAAAATAATTACAAGTTTGGAGACAGATTAATAATGTCCAGTTCAGGCTAGGAATCTGGTTTTCATCATTTGAACCTCTAGGAATTAAGGCAATTTTCACCTAAGTAGAGAGGCCACTGGAAGAGCAGCCTGAGCCTAGAGACCTTGACTTTTCCTGCAGTTAGGAGCCCACCTCCGCGTCTCTAAAAGCTTAAGGACGCTGGGGCAGGAGAGGGAAGAAAGTGCACACTGACAATCACTTTTTCTGTGTCAGGCGTTGTGTATGTATGTTGCTCTCCGTAAGCTGTCTCCCTTGGAGTGAGTAATAACTTGGTGAGGTAAGTACCATTATTATGGCCATTTTCCAGGTGGGGAAATTGAGCTATAAAGATATTCAGAATCTTGCCCAAGGTCACACAGCTGGTAAATAGCAGAAGGAGGATCTGAACCTAAGCAGTCTGATTCCAGTGTCTGTGTGCTCTCAGCCAACACGTCATCTGCCTCGTCCATGGGAAGAGTTGGCAGGGAGGTTGGGAGAAAGGAGAGGCGAAGGGGAGGTAGGCACAGCCTCTCCTCCTCGCCGCCTCAGCTCCTGACGGTGCCTCCCCATCCACAAAATGCTTCCAGTGGCGGAGATCGGGTTGTGGGAGCACAGATCAGCCACTGACTGAGATCATCAGTCACAGACAACCAAGCAGAATTGAGAGTGTCGGTGAAAACAAAATGCTACAAAGAACTGTGGCTCGTGGAGACAGAGAGACTGTCATAAACTAAGATTCCTTACAATATTATCAAATATTAAGCCAAATCCTGCCTGAACCCTTTAGTCTGCAAGAGAGATTCCTCTTTCTACTTGTAGAACCCCCTCCTCAAGAAGTGCACAGCATGAGGGCAAATGTTAGCCAAATTTGAAAAATTATCCAGAGACAAATTCCTAAACAACATCTTTGAGACAGAAAAACAAGTATTGTTGGACACGCTGGGTAAAATCTGAGGAACAATCAGGAACTCTGTCACTTTCAAAGGAAAACAATCCCTAGGGCCAAATAACCAAAACATAAGAACACGCAGCATCTTCCCAGTGCCAACCTAAAGCCAACCCACAATATAGTGCTTGCTGACAGGCCCATATTCCACCTGCAGAGCCAGCCAGCATTCCATCCTCCACCTACTGGAAATTTAACAAATGAGAACATGGGATGCCACAGACTGGCGAATAGCTCAATTCATGCACCACCAAATAAACATAACTGCAAAATGATTTGTACTCTAGACGCAGTGGCTGCGTCCTGATTCTCATTCCACTTCACATAACATCTACTTTTTCTCTGCTTAAATCTAATCCCCCTCTTGCTGAACAGAGAAGATGTGTGGGTGGTGGAATGAAAGATTCAGCCTTGTGCATATTACACATAGTTCAGTTATCCAAGGAGAAAATAAATTGCCAGGGAACAGTACTTGTACTGAACAGTCAGAAAATAACACCTTAAGATATACTGTCAAATGATTTCCCAGTATTATTAATCTGCCAACCAACCAGCCAGTCTGTATGCATGTTTTCTTTCCCCCAATGCAACTCTGAACCACTTAGGATTCTACCTTTTTAACTGGATGAATACACCTGAACTCATTGCAAACAAAGCAGTCTGCAGAGATTTGAGAGGTAGCAACAGGTCACCAAAAGTGATTTGCAGAGCCCTCCAGCTTAGGGCTGTATCTTACCAGTCGAGTCAGCCCTGGAAGCTGGGCCACTCGTCGGCTCCTCAGCACTGATGAGCTGCAGGTCTGTGTACGAGGGGCCAAAACTAGGGCTACTGGTATCTTCAGAATGTGTGGTCCAGCTGCTCTCAGAGGGCAGAGGGCATCTCCCCAGGGAGTCGAAGGAAGGGCACGTCCAGCAGGGCACAGTCAATGATAGGGCTGGGGACAGACCAAAAACCAAAAGCATACAATATAAATAGTTGTACTTTGTTAATATTTAGTGCTTGTCTGACTTTGATGTTGTTCAGATCCTATGAAATCTCAACAGCCATACCAGGCAAGGAAGGGTAGGCAGTATCGCTCATGATATCGACGGGGAAAACTAATTGACTGAGACCCCACTGTGAGTCAGCATCAAAACAGGGACTAACTAAGGTCACATGACCCTCCAATCAGAGAAAAGCTCACTAAAGGACAGGAGTGGTTTTACGGTCTGCTTTTATTTCTGAATCCTGGTTTCACTTCATTTAGACCCAAACTACATGAGGCTTGCAGTTTCATCTTTACTCTTACATTTCCTCCATTTTCAGTGGCACGCCAACAATCTGAAGAAAACTCAGCAATCTACACTGCAAAATTAGAGCTAGATTGAGTTAAGGGAGAAATATGTGAATATTAACGTATTCGCATATGGATGTGATACGTCACTGCTTGCTTTGAGTTTGACTGTAATAAGAATCGGCAGACTGTTACAAATACAAACTGAGATCCACTGGGGCTGCTGACCTGCAACACAATGAAAAATATCTTTAAGGGGAAAATGCACGGGGTTTGGCTTTATCTCCTTAACCCTGAACATCAAATTCAGTAAAAACCACTTTGGAAAGTTTCTTCTTCTTCTTTTTTTTTTTGAAGTCAAATCTTCTAATGTTTCTAATTTGTCTTTAGTTAATTGCCTACCACATGGTTTCCCCATGGTGTTACATAAGAATCTTACTGCAAATTTACTGACAAGTACTGAAAACCAGTGCTCAGAAGAGTGTGGACACGGACGGAAGAATAAAAAAGAAACTAGCAATTATTGAGTGCCCATGAAATGTCTTTTGACATGAACTTTTACAAATGTTAGCTCATACTGCCCATCAATGTTGAGTTAGGCAGTGGTCTTATTTTATACAGCAGGAAACAGGCTCAAAGAGGTTAAGTAGCTTGTCCAAAAAGATAGACAGAGTCAGGTCTCCTGGCTAGAGAATCAAAATTATAGTGTTGAGTTAAGAAACAGGAAGAGAAATTGAGATTTAAGATGGGAAAAAAATAAATAGCAATGTTTGTGACACAGTATAAATATGAAACCACAGAGAATTTTCATTCTGTATTCTCTTAGGCATTTATAAGACATACAGGTCTTTTCTCTTT